AAACAGCGGGTCATAAGAAATCATCAGTTCTTATACTGTATTAGTATATTGACTTTGAATATATACTAATATAAAATATATAACTCTAAGCATTTAGCATTCATATGGCATATAACATATTATTTGTAATGTTTTTACCTACTTCCTCTAAATTGTTATAATACTGCTCAGCCTAAAACCGTGTCTGGTCATAGTTTCAGTGTTTATAGCTCCATAACATAGTTTTCTACAATTAAAACAATTCGTGTTCTATACTTCTTAGTAGTAGGAAGCATGCATCTCACGCGATCTTAACGGTGTACATCATTTATAATCACAACGTCACAGTTATTTGCAGCCGCTCCAAACTATTGTTTTGACGTAATACTTACATGCGACGCTGGTAATGTTCCTTTACTCGCATGTTCTTCAAGCGGACGGCTCGCCTGATGGTAAGCTGTAACTGTTGCCTGAACAGCATTACGGATTACGGATATCATTTCTCATCCGTGATACTACTCATGCATTGCATTAGATTGTCATGCGTCCTTAACTTCTCTGCCTAATCTATCACCTACAAAGGAAATACAACTTACAAGGCAATCTGCTTGGCGGCTGAAATATCTGAGACGTACTTCAGTAAAGTCCTCAGATCGTGTATCGGCGGCAGTTTCCATTAAGTGAGTCGCCAGCTACTCGCTATTTTAGTCATGGTAACATATAACTTGATTATGGAATACCATTGACACCGGAAACATAGTACAAATTACTTGACATTTAAATTTCCATCAAGGTACTAAAAAGAAATCACATTACGTTAGCTTCTTAATAATTAAATGTGAATTAATATACGACAATGATATATTATGGCAGGTTATTTTACTTGAAGCGGAGTTTACCACGCTGTATTCAACCTTGACCCTACTTGCAGTGTAGGCGCATCGTAGTAATTTAGCTTATGTAAGTACGTAATACTCGTATATATACAGATTACAGCGGCTACAACTGCACATTAAATGCAAGTTTGTTTATAATTGTAATTATTATTGAATTGAGGAATAGTAATATAAATTAAATATTAATAAAATCCATGCAAACATTACTGTCTTATGAAGATGATATAATTATAAAATTAATTCATATAGTAAGTAAAACTGCGTTGCCTAAAACTTAGGTCACATAGGTATTATTTGTTTATTGTCTCTTTATTATGAAATGTGTTCTACTGAACAGAAAGTTAAGAGCGCCTATTGTAAAAATCACGAATCGAGTTCTTAAAGTGTTTAAAGTTCGTTAGTTATTCTATTCCATTCGACGAAGCGAGTCACTATCAATAATTAGGAATATTCTCACGAGTTCGTACATAATTGATACATGCATCGTTTATTAGTTTGGATTCTTATATGATCCCAATTGAATACGCGTTCTACAAATATCACATCTTGGTTCAACAACGCGATACTATGAATCTCTGTAATCCCTAAGATTGATTGATTGGATTACATAAACTAATACTTTATGAAAACTAATTAGTATTGCATCACGTTATACTCGTATAGCTTACGGACATAAATATATACCAGCTTGGGCTTACTTGTATTATTCAATTTAGTTCGGTAAGTCTTTCCAGTCTAAGTAGTTATCACAATGTAACTAAGTATTGTGTTCAGATTCTCCATTTATCTAGTATATTAAATTTTATGACATAAATTAACTGTAATTAATCCAATTTTACAGCTAGAGGTATTTCTTTATGTAAGTAGCTTAAACTACATACTCGTAGTTTGAGTGATAATAATAAACTTAATTAATTTATTAATGTTAAACCTTCTAACAAGCAAATTAATACCTTGTTTAAGGCGATGCATTATTATTGATAAAATATACTAAATATACACATAGACTTTGAATAGTCTACCCGTATATAAAATTAATATTCATTTTTAAATTCCACATTTCTCAACCATTATCGCAAATTCTCAAGAACCAGTTCTGGTATCGAAGTATAGACAAGGAATTCTGATGCCGCTGGGATAGCAATCAGAATGCTATTTAATATACTTGAAGTGCTGTCCATACTAGTTGGTTTTGTGCTATAATAATTATAATATATTCTGGAACAGGAATCATAATTATAACGTCTGGCAACTTGTTATTCTAAAGTGTATTTAATAATACTAGTCACTATCCATAAGACTGGTATATACGATTTAATATTCCTAGTTTTTGCTATGCTTTTCATTTTGTTTGTGGTTGCATGTATGTATATTATTAAAATTGACTCTTACACTGCTACTGTATTATAGAGTTTACTAGCCTTTTTATTCATAAAAAGGTTGCTGCTCTAATACTGCTAATGCTTTACTAATCGTGAATCTAAGGTGTGAATATTTACATCTTAACCGTGTATGTAGTTAATGTGTTGCGAAACTGCGGTACTTTTAGCGAAACCAAAGACATTTCGCTCCGCTCTTGGTAAAGTCTCGCACATCAAAGGATTTGTGCGACAACGTAACTTTAATGTGTGTGGTCATGTTTACCATAGCCACTCGCAGGAATTTCTTTTACTAATCTATTGAAGCCGTATCTATTGTCATTGACAGACCAGGTGACAATGTCAATTATGGTAATAAATCTACCAAAAACGTATGACAGAAAATTTCCAAATGTTTTGTCATGCTCAAAACGTTTTAGGTCCTAATTATCATCATAATTAATAACACTAATAAACCAAAGTGTTAATGTCGTTTTGATCATTTGTTTATATGTTAAAGAAACTGATGAGAGGCCAGCCTTGTTTCAAATGTATGACTGTTTGTTTAAACGCCGCTTAATTATCACTGCGCACACGTGGGTGTATTCAGATTTTTAAATTACTTTCTTACTTCTACTGAATAGAGTTTAGTTTTGTGTGAATGTTGAACAATGTATGTAACTTTGTGTTAAGATAGATGCTGAAGTGATTGTTTAACAAATAAACGTGTAAAATTCATTTTTGAAAATTAGAAATGAACGCACGTTTTGAAATGTTTTAGTGCTCTATTTGTATGACGTCAATTAGTTGTTTATTTTTACAAATACAATGAAATTGCTGTTTCTTACATTACTTGAACTACGTTCTAACTAAAAATTTATTAAATATACTAAATTATTCAGACATAGAAGCTTATTTTCTTATTTTCGTTTTTAAGCTTATTCTTAAATCAACAAGTTACGTAATTATACTCAACTAAATTTAATTATGTAGAAAAGAATGGTGTTGGAACCTTCAAAAGGTAAAGATCCTGTCCTAAAGTTTAAAGAAATATATTATGAAGATTCTATTCTCTAAGATCCTATATATTCCTTTGAAGAACAATTGTATAATACATTATTAATTAACTATTACTTTTATTAAGACTAGACACAAATTTAAAGAGTACTTGAAATATCAATGCAAGTTTACGACCGACTTTCAATTATTAATAACTCACTTTATTGTGGTATAGGTATATCAATTTGTTTATTAGCTATTAAGAATGTGTTATGTTGTTCTCAAATTTTTATTTGCTTTGAATTCATTTTTGTAATTAAAACCTTGACTCTGTGTTAATTACACTAATGCAGTTATTATTATTATATTATTACTTGATATTATTACACCCTTATTTATTTTATATTGTAAAAGGTATAATGTTCCTTCTATATATGATTCTTTCTACATATAAAAAATAAATGTAGCTTTTCATTAACAAAATGCAATTAATTTTGTTAATGAAAAGGTACATTTTTTTATGGATGACAATGGAATGGTGCATGCACCTGCGCTAATGGGGGGGCACCAGTGGAGGATGATATGATAAGGATTAAGTCAGGTGGCGAATTCAGTAGTAAATAATCACAATGGTTTACAGTTAGGTTCGTATCAAGGTCGACCTGATAGGGGGTACATTACCAGCAAAGGGACCACTGGTTCTACAAATGGTACTAATAATCCCCATCACCTTCTTACATACGTGTGTACACAAATAGTTCTAAACTAAGATCTCAAGATGAAGTCTGCATTCCCCTGAAGGAATGTGACGCTCTGCTATCTAAATCCAGTTGTTGTTGTATCCGCTTTTGGCTTAACTGGAATGGGGTTAAGCATCTTAAATCTCATTTTAATTGCGTATCCAACGGAAGTATATCATATACTTGATCTTTTAATGCGCTAAAATAGCGCGCAGATATTTATTCCAATTCTTCATTAATTAATACATTGATAAAATCTTTAATTATGTATCGAAATAAAATTTTTGTTTTTTAGATGTATATTATATTATATTACTTACAACGCTTACTAGTAGGTACCAAGCAGATATATACTAATTATTTCACCAAATGCAAATTGTAATGAACAGTAACTGAAACTGCCAAATGGCGTAGAGATTTTCTGCAGTGGACTAACTGCTTCTAAAGTTTCTAAAAACTAAAGAAACTAAACTTTACCTGCAACTATAAATGAAAGTAAAACAGAATAATAGTAGATGATTTTGCTTTTAGGAAATAAAAACAGAAAAAGTAATTTGAAGTTCCAGTAAACGGTCATTTAATGGTAGGTACTAACCTCTGGAAACCCGAATGTTTTGATTGTTATCTCCTTTTTACGGTCTTATAATTAGGAGTATATCATCTTTGATTTACTTTAGTTTTCTGGAATATGTTAAATGTAATGTTACTTTTGGTTCAATTCGTATACCATTTTTGTTTTGGTTTTGATCTATTTTGTCTGTTGAAGAGGTGTTCATCAGTTTATGATTACGTATCTAAATATCACGAGAACTTTGTGGAGTCACATATTCATGTGTGTAGCTGGTAGTATTGCAACTTTGTTATCCTTCCAATTTAAAAGTTGAGTCAGAACTGTTATTGTTATGTTAGCTTACGGAGGTTTTAATTCAGTTGGGTAAAAGTTTGAAGTCCACTCGTAGATGCGTCGGCTGGTTGCGCACGACGGTATACGGATGACGGCGCCTCAGTTTGCTCGCGCTGCCCGCGCAGCACGCTCGCGTGTTTTCTAATAATTGTGGTGTTGTCAAAACGAAACTTACCGATTCGAATTTGGAACGTTTTCGACCGGTAATGTGTCGGTTTAACTGTCGCTTTTAAATAGCGAACGCTTCTGTGACCCTCTGAATTCGCATTGCGAATCGAACGTGCGATTGCTTCATTCTGTTACGCTAGTGTTAACAGATAACTGTGAAGAAACGCGTGTAGGCCTTCAGTCTTGTGCACTCAGCAGATTTAGTGCTTTATCTGTGCAGTGGAATTGAAGTGTGTTTCGTGTTGAATGTTATTTCCTGATTGATAGAAGACCAGTGTGATATGTTTCACTGAACTCGAGACAACAAGTTGTTTCGTGATCGAGTTTATGTGATTGGAAGTATTGATACGTATTGCATGCCCCCTGTCCACAACTTGATTTATGGTAAGCTATTCAATTTGTCTAGCTCTGTATTTGGCCATTATGGGAAACTTTTCACCCGTAAAAATCTTTTAAAGTCTCACTGCTGGCCACCGGCCTATTTAAGTGTAGCCCGAATTAAAACTTTATTAATAATGAGTTAATTAGTTAGAAGAGGATTCGTTCCTACTTATTAGTAATGAGAACTAGTGGTCACGTTGTTAACAATGTACATTGTTAACTCAACGTCAACTTCTCCTCTTTACCACTGTAGGAATTCTTGATGAATTTGTTACGATAGGCTAATGGCTACATTCTCATCCTATGATTTTTCCAATGATTTCTTATCAGCGTGTTCCTTTATTCTAGTTTACCTATTCTATCGTCATCAAAAACGAAAAATAAATGCCAAATTTTTGAATTTGTTATTATTGTTTGAATATATTATGTCTTGAAATGAAGATATTACTTTTTAGTTTTTAAAAATATTTAAAAAGCTTCTATATTATTATTAACATTATTTAAAACACAGTTATCATGCAGTAAGAAGCTGATTATTGCAAAATTGGATTTAGATGTTAAACAAATATTTGGCAGATTTAAAAGCATGTAAATGACGTAGGTAACGAGATGTAAAGCTATTACATAGTTCTATGTGCAATATATTTTATGATTAACATTTTATTTACAAATTTGTTTTTAATTTATCATTCGACATTCGACAAGTATTAAACATGAATTCAGATGGCACACTATGAATTGAAGTCACTTTTACTTACTTCATGAAGAGATGTTAGCGATATTTTTGCAAACATGAGAAGAAAGTTTTATATCAAATAGCCACGCTTATCAATCACTCTACAACAAATGATCATATAAGCTTATGGTAGGCTTAAAATTAATTAATACTGGCAAAGAACATGATTCAACAGTTTCAAATGTACTAGATTGTGGGTCATAGAATTTATTAAATGCGAATCAGTGCAAAGAAGTAGAACTGCCATTGTCAGATAGATAAAATAGCACTTGTGAATTACATTCACTTTTAAGATTGACAATCATTAAGTATGAAATGTAATTACTAATCTAAGTATTAAATAAACTTCAGTTTCAAAAGTTGTAATCTCAATCTGTGTTTATTTATGTTGTTTTCCAATTTTATTCTATTATCGGGTGGTCGGAACTCAAAATGTTGCTAAAAATATATATTATTATCTAAGAGTTAAATAGCTGTAAAGTTTACGGCAAATTCTAAATCTATTTTCAGAGATCTTTCCATTACTACTTTGTTATGATAATTAAAAATATTAGGTGTCAAATAAGAAAACTGTTATATATATATATGACTTAGAATAGTTAAATTCTTCGTGCTCTGAGTAATTGACTTCATACGAACAGGTAATAACTTACGCAAACAAATAGCCTTTTCTCCGAGTACAGCAATATCTATCTCGTTCTAAATCACTGAACTGTTTTGTTTCCACTTTATGTTTAACCTGGAGTTGTGCCCTAGAGAGTTTGACCTAGGCATGGATTGAATTTCTGTGCTTAAACAGTAACGTCGGCAGCCATTTGTGTTGGCTCCTTGACCTCTTCCTCACGATCACTACAAATATTGTTAGTCGTGAGGTCTGTCGATTTAATTATATATGTACCTGACGATGTCTAGTGACAGTATTATTTGTTTTAAATCTATGTTTAATTACATTTTATAAATAAAATACATTAAGTTTAAAATTTAAAATGTAGAGCTAAGTGCACAATAAATGCTATCTATGATTCTCTTGATTTTGTAACATTTCAAATGCGGTTTTTTCTTATTCAATTTGCGTTTTCAACGCCTTCTATACATGTACATATTAAGTCTAATTCAGAGACCTCCTAACCTGTTTTGTTTCATAGTCCACTTGTTATATTTTTCATTATCATGCTCTGACACACCTCCTATCTAAACTTGCAAAACATCAATTTGTCTACTATTAATGCTTTGCAAATTCAGCAAGTTCATATATTCTTTTACAACATTTATAGTGCCAGTCCAGATTACTATTTTTAATATTTATTAGACCTTACGGTTTTGTCGAAAATTTTTTTGTGTTTAAGGAAAAACTAATTAAAAGTCTGTCCTAAGTGAATTTTCATCACAGGCTAAATTAAGGTAAACATTTGATCTATAGTAATTTTCTATTTACATTTCGTAGAGTCTCATTTTTTTTCATTGACAAGGCAAGGTCTGTTTCACCTTTGCTGTTCGTCGACCATTTGTAGAATATAGGCCACTAGCTATACCTGTGTAAATCGTGAATATATTGACTCACATTATCTATATTACTATTCATTTTAATGAAGACAAATCTATGTCAATTACACTATATTGAAGATCCTGATGAATTGTAGAATTGTCATTTTGTAATTCATTGAGATCGATGATCTCGTTATGAGCATCTTATTGTGTCTTTATAAGGCAAAAGGTGGGTGTTTCGAAGGCCAAATATTCATCAAGATATATACATTTAAAAAATAAGGCAGTGTGTAATAGTTACGAAACTGAATAAATGTAACGAAAGCTTTTATTTTATTACATAAATATTTTGTAATGATAAATATTAATATAATAATATATTAAAATTAATAAAATGACAGGCTTTCTTGTAATTTATTAAAAGAAGAGATAGGAAAGATTTGTAGAAATAGTTATTCACACATAATTCAATTATGCACGTCGATGTTTAGATTTATTATTTGCCCTTAGCCCTGAGGATAAATAAATATACGTTTGTGGGACGACTGCCGTACAACCTATTACGTACATTTCCTTTGGAGCCTCAGTCACGACTGGCTTTGATTCGACACCGACTCATCGAAGTAAATCATTACTGCCCTTGATATTGTATCGCGCCGGTAATTTATATTGATACTTGGTTGTTCCCAAAATGTAATTGATTATTTGAACCCTACAATTGTAGGGTACATTACATTAATTGAGTATAAGTTAATAATATTAGTGTAATTGTAAATTCATCATCATCATCATCGCAGCCCGGAAGACATCCACTTGTAAATTATTTTCTATTAATTGTACAAGTTATGTTATGTTGTTAGCGTTTCGAAAAGTATTGTAAATTTTAGCAAACATGAAACATAATCTTTACACATATTGTATGTCAGTAATATAGAGGTATATATAGCAATAGATTTTTATATTAATATAATTCTATGATGTTTTTAAAGTGATTTGGTTAAGGATCGGAGGATAAACAGTGGAAAGAAAGAAGACGAAATGATATCAAAGCATCACTGGACTATACCATATACAAGTGACGTGTTATAAGCAAGGACTTCTTCGTGCAGTAAATCAATATTGCAAATGGATTTGCATAATTCACGTACTTTATAGTAGTAAGTCTAAAAGGGCGCAATATACATATGATCATGTAGGCTTAAACATTTTATTTATTTATAGCTGCATTTTATTTTACACTGGAACTAGTCGCAGCAGCGCGGAAATCATGAGCCTGAGGACAAAAAATACATTATATTCAAAACAGAAAAACAAATGTTCACAGTAGTAAGGTTTAATATCGTTATTGTCTTGTCTAGTTTTGTTCTGGTGAGTGAGTAATTCAGATTAGTGTAGATAAAAAAAGTTACGAAGGCCTTCTTTGCGGTTTGAGTTATTTCATTAATGTTTAAGTAATAATGCTCGCAAGGATATACAGGCAATACCCGTGCATGTATACATCAAGGATCTCGTATTATAGTTAACAGAAACAAAGCACGCGATATGATTCCATTATAAAATATCTCATTGGCTTCCTTATTATTATTAAATCTACCATCGTCAGTTGCCACTATTAATATTTTTCTGTTGCTCTTCATGTATTATGTGCACATGCGTCGCTATCAGCCTGTAATCACTAAAATACTTATTTGATTGTTATTCGTCTAACTCTTTGATTTATTTATTGACTCCACTCTCACCCTTTGTTACTGACGAAACTAATAGGATATTCCCTTTTTAATGTTTGTCACTTATCTAATTATGCTATTTTCTTTAGCCTATTAAAATATTTACATGCACATGAAGTGCATACAGTTACATGATCTTGAAATACTTACAATTGAGTTTGATATACTAGCCGTAAGTATACCTATCCGGAATCTGAAAACAAACTTAACCTTGTGGTCACGTGAATTATGATGGTTTGTATGGATAGTTTTAAAATGAATTTTGAGTTTGACTGATCAATTTTTATTTTGATCATGTTCAGTTCATCATTCCTATCATTAAGGTTTAGTTTGAGATATTCATGTTATAGTATTATGTTCACATCAGTTCTATCTGAGGTAGGCGTAGTAAAACATGTCTGCTCGTTATATTTTTGCATTGCCATAATTGAAGATAAGACATCATTTACACTTTTCCCATTTATAGTTCCTTTTTAACTAACCTATCTACCTCGACGTTGAATTCAATTTCTATTTTTTTCATTCATCTATCAATTAACCAGATCTATATATGGTACGGGATTATTTGGAATCCATTATCAGGCTTGTACTTATCGCACTCTATCTCATATCTGATTGAGTCGAATATCAATAATACCAATGTCAAGTTCAGAAAATTTACCATTCTGCAAATGAATCACGTTATATTAATTTAGATACACTTTCACATATGCTTAAAACTAAATTCCGGTTTCTGGTACCGGATCATATAAATCATGACATGCCGTTCATTTTTAAACACGTATTATAGTAAGTTATAAACGTCTACTTTTTTTGATGGCATAATTTAATAAGTTATAATTAGATTTATTTTAGTATGTATCACTTAGATGTAAATTAAATTCGTTTTGTCCATTGTTATATCAGGTTGTTTGATGAAACTGACTAAAGGATTTTATCAGGATTTGTGTGAAATTGACTAAAGCCCATATGTTCTGGAATAACAATATTATCTGTTTACAAATTGTATTTGTAATTACAGTTACATTGTAATTAAGTAAATTGTGTGTGTAATT